CCATATGTGTTCATTGGCCATGTTGGTACAATAAACCTACCTATCACACCCTTCTATGTGTTAAGAATGGGACCGAAATGATTCTTGCTCTCTGGAAATTTCCAATAACTCCATAAAAACATATAAATAAAGAACAAGACAACTTCAGTTAATGATACCTAGTATAAAGTATTTAAAATACAACGACATTATACAGTGTTGAGAACATCATTTCATAGAGGATTTCAGGGAAGACTTCTATATCAATTTAAGCTAAGCCATAAATAATTAAGAGAAAGTTATATGAAGCATTTTGAGCAACGTATTCTAAGTAGAGGGACCAATATCAGTGCCCTAAGGTGGTAAAAAGCCTAACTTATTTAATCATCATGAAGAAGGCTAATATTATTGGAGCATAGTTAAATAGGGGAAGACTGATATGATATGAAATTTTAGAGGTTGACAAGGAATATATTATACAGTACTTTACTTTTGTTCTTGGTGTGAATTGAGTGTTTAAATCAAGTGAACAATGTGGTATAGATTATACTGGTAAAAGAGCACCCTGGCCTTATATGGAGAATAGTTGAAGAGGACAAGGGAAAAGCAAAGAGGAGAATTTAGAGGCTATTTCAGTTTTCCAGGTGAGATGTGGTGCTTTGGATGAGGAAACTGACAATAGAAATGTAAATAAAGGAATGGACTAGGAAAATTTTGAAGGGGGAGTTTAGAGGATTTACTGATGGATCAGATGGTATAGAAAGCAAAGAGTTATGTGCTGACAGGGAAATAAAATTGTGGACTCTTTCTTTCAAGGGGCTTATGAAGGAGTGAAAGAGACCCATTGTATTATTTTCCCTCTTATTATCATTTAATTATTTAATTATGTTTGTATATACAGTAAAACTGTTTTATTGGCACATTATCATCTTTAAAAAATTGGGGGGGTTCTTACAGCTCTTATACAATCCATATGTAAATTCATTTTGTCAAGCATATCTGTACATAAGTTGCCATCATTTTTAAAGCATTTTCTTTCTACTTGAGTCATTGGTTCATTTTCCTTCCTGTATCCTTAATGAACCCTTAATAATTTATAAATTATTATTTGTTCATGTCTTGCATTGACCTCTCCCTCCTTTCACTCACTTTTCTGTTGTCTGTCCCCCTGGGGAGGGGTTATATATCAATCATAGTGACCAGTTTCGCCTTTCTCCCCCCACCTTCCCCTTACCCTCTTGGTATCGCTACTCTCATTATTGGTCCTGAGGAGTTGAATATGTTCTGGATTCCCTGTGTTACGAGCTCTTTCTGTACCAGTGTACATGGTCTGATCTAGCCAAATTTGTAAGGTAGAATTTGGGTCATGATAGTTAGGGGAAAGGGCAGGGAGGAAGCATTAAAGAACTAGAGGAAAGTTGTGGGTGTTTCATCAGTGCTATACTGCACCCTGAGGGACTCATCTCTTCCTTGTGACCCTTCTATAAGGGGATGTCCAATTGTCTACAGATGTACTTTGGGTTTCCACTCCACCCTTCCCCTCATTCACAATGATATAATTTTTTGTTTTGGATCTTTGATGCCTGATACCTGATCCCATCGAGATCTCATGATGATCACACAGGCTGGTGTACTTCTTCCATGTGGGCTTTGTTGCTTCTCAGCTAGACGGATGCTTGTTTATCTTCAAGCCTTTAAGACCCCGGACGCTATATCTTTTGATAGCCTGGCACCCTCAGCTTTCTTCACCACATTTGCTTATGCACCCATTTTGTCTTCAGTGATCATGTCAGGGAAGGTGAATATCGTAGAATGCCTGGTGATTAGAACAAAATGTTCTTGAATTGAGGGAGTACTTGAGTGGAGGTCCAATGTCTGTCTGCTGCCTTGATACTTGATAAATAAATATATGTACATAGATAGATTTCCCTATCATTATATAAAAATATATTTACATATGTACATTCCTGTATATAGACCTCTATAAATGTTCTCTGCTTCCTAGTTTTTTCCTCTTTTTCCTTTTACTTTCCTCTTGTCGCAGTATCATATTCAGCCTTCATTTGGGTTTAGGTAATTCCTCTCAGCTACATTGCCATTGGTCAAGCCCCACCAGGCATCCTACACCCTCCTCGCCATTGATTTTAGACCACTGCTTGTTCCTTTGTCCCTGAGTTTGTTGGCACCTCCCTTCCTTTCCCCCACCTCCCTCTTTCCCGTGTACCCCCAGAATTGTGGGTCACATTGTTTTCTCCTCCAGATAGTTTATCTTGCTTATCTTATTAAATAGACATGCAGTGACAAAAATAAGCACAAAAACAAGACAAACAAAATATAACAACAAAAGAAAACAACAACAAAAACCAACAGCAAAGAAAGAAAAGTTTTAAAATAACTCCAGATCTTTAGGAGTGTTTTCCAGTAGAGTATGATGGATTACCATGCCCTGGCCCCAAAGTCTATTTTTGGTATTCCCCGGGCACTTCATCGCTTTGTTCCCCTTGCTGCTCTGTTGCACACCCTTAGTGTTTTGCCCCAGTGTGGTGAGGTCAGATCAGGCACAATTCCTGCACTGTGTCTCCAGTGTTGTTCCCCGTAGCGCTATGGGTCAGCTCAGTGAGGGACATCGTGGGGCTGGTCCTATGGTCCTCTCTGTGGATTGGCTGCTCTGAGGGGGAATATCGTCCTCAGGGTTTGGTGGGACAGGATGTGTTCCATTCTCTCACCTTCCCTCATCATTTGTTGCTGTGTGCTCTGATCAGAAGCGCCCCTCTCCCTGAGCTGTAGCTTCAGTGCTATCATATGAAGTGCATTCTTTGGGGGTGGACGTGGGGTTCCATGTAGTTGGGATTGTGGCCGGCCTCCAGACCTCTATGTTGATTCACTGCTTCATGCTGACATGTTGCATTTATGTCTTGGTGCACCATGTTGAAGTCTGGTCCCTCTCTCCTTCTCCTGTGGAGATATAAATAATACCCCCACCCCACCCCCGGGTGGGTTAGCGCCCTGTTCCCCTGCTACCCATGTCTTTTTTTTCCTTTTCTTTTTCCCTCTTTTTTAGTTTGCACCCATATATATCCCTGGATTGGTTCTGGCCTCTGCCATAATATGTGGACCTCACCCCAGGAATGTATGCCCCTTTTGCATTTTTAAGCTTACCTCACCGGACTCATGTTGTACTTGTCCTTTTGTGTTAGGCATACTAGGGTTTGCATAATTTCCTCCAGTTCTTCCCATGCAGAGATGTGCTTCATGCATTCATCACTGAGTTTTAGCAATGTGTAGTACTCCATTGTATGTATGTGCCACAGTTTTGTAATCCACTCGTCAGTTGATGGAGATTTGGGTTGTTTTCAACTCCTTGTGATTGTGAACTGTGCCTCGACGAACATTGAAGCACAAATGTCTGGCTGTGGTTTGTTTTTTGTCTCTTCTGGGTATATGCCCGGTAGGGGGATTGCTGGGTCATATGGTTGCTCAATTTCCATCTGTTTTCAATTTCACCAAATCGATTTCCATACCAGCTGCACATACCTTCAGGTCCACCAGTAGTGAACTAGAGTTCCTATGTCACCACAGCCCTCCAATACTTGTTACTTTCTGATTTTTTTAAAATTGAGCTATCTTTGAGGGTGTTAGATGGTATAATTTGCATTTCTCTTATGACTAATGATCAGGAACATTTTCTCATATGCTTATTGGCCATTAGGATTTCTGCTTTTGTTAAACTTCTGTTCAGGTCCTTTGCCCACCTCCTCTGTGGGCAATTAGTTTTGTTTTGTTTTCAGAGTGTTGTAGATTTTAGCAATAAGGCCTTTGTCTGGTATGTCAGTGCTAAAGATGTTTTCCCAGTCTGTGGGCTCTCTTGGTGAATTCTTTTGATGTACACAGATGTTTTACCTTCAGTATATCCCACTTGCCAAATTGTGCCTCCTCTGTGTTTGTGTCCTTCTCTACTTCTAGTAGCCTATGTATTCCCTGAGCCAAAGTTCTCAGGCTTGTCCCAATTCCCTCATGGATGGCCCTAATAGTTTGGGGTTTTATCACAAGGTCTGTGATCCACCTTGAGTTTATTCTTGCACATCATCTTTTTTATCATTCAATTCAACAGGTCAATCATACCAGGAAGAGTTATACAGTCATCACTGTAATAAATTTTAGAACATTTTCTTCTTTCTTTTACTCATTGTTATTAGCTCCTCATTCCCCCCATAAACACACACAAACCTCCCATGCCATACCTCCAAGAAACCATTAATCCAGTTGCTGTCTTTCTAGATTTAGCTATCTTGGATCTTATATACAGAAAAACATACAAAGAAAACAAAACACCTAACAGTAACAAAGTAAAACAGAGAAAAATCTCAATTGAAAAGAAAGGAGAAAATATTTAAAAAGTAGAACAAAATTAAAATTAATTAAAAGGGAGATCAAATGATAAGGTGTTCAATTTTAACTTAACCACATCTGCAACAATCCGTTTTTCCAATACACTCTGTTCCCATCCTTAGAGATACATTTTAAACAAATGAAGGGGCATTCTGTTTTTGTTACTTTGTTGAGATAACCACTTGGAAGCTCAGGCTATAAGATTAGACATCAGGAGACAGCTTTTTTTTCTAGAACAGTTCTATGCTATAATCTCCTCATCCATCACTAGGAAAGTGTAGAATGTCCAAAGATGTCTAACAATGATTCCAAAATATTAATTGTCTTCCTTCTCAATTGGGCTGTTGTTTCTTGTGTCTTTTATTGTTTTATATAACTCATCTTTAAAATTCAGAAATATCTGATTTATAAGCTCTACTTTATAGGCTCCTTGAAAGAAATCTCTCTAAATGTCAACTGTTACTTAGTCTATTTGACCTTAACCATGTGATTTAACTGTAAAGTTCTTTAAGAATGGAGAGATCTCTGACTGTAAAATGGGCTCAAGCTAGGAACAATTGTGAGGATTACACAGGTCCAAACAATTCCCAGGGGTTTCTTCAGTCACATTTTTCTCTCTGTTCCTCCCTTAGGAATATTTGAGATTTATTGCCAAGAAGGTAATCATCGCGAAGCAGGGATGATTGCAATTTACAATGTCTCTCTATGTCCTGGCCGCCATGCTACCCCTCACCAGCGTTACCAGGCTGCAAGAATCTACTTCATCATGGCAGAAGAAGTAGAGTGGGACTATTGCCCTGACAGAAGCTGGGAAATGGAATGGCACAACCAGTCTGAAAAGGAGAGGTAAGGGGGAGGGGGGAGCGGGGAGGGAGGGGAAAAATGAGGACCTAATGTCGGGGGTTTAAATGGAGAGAAAATGTTTTGAGAAACGATGTACAAATGCGCTTTACACAATTGATGTGTGTATGGATTGGGATAACAGTTGTATGAGCCCCTAATAAAATGTTAAAAAAAAAAAAAGAACTAAAGGGTGCTACAAACTGTGCTGGCTAAATATAGGTTTAGTGTAGAGATGGTGTTTTTCACGGGATTGCGCCACCCCCCCACCCCCACCCCCTTATTCTTCAGTCTCCCAAAGAAGAATAGATGCATTTGAGTTATGGTGCTGGCAAAGAACATCGAAGGGACTGTGTCCTGCCAAAAGAACAAATAAATCTGTCTTGGAAGAAGAATCGCCAGAATGCTCCTCAGAGACCAGGACAACTAGACTTCATCTCAAGCACATTGGGCACGCTATCAGGAGAGACCAGTCCCTGGAACAGGACATCATGGTTTCCTTTGCTATGTCGATGAGAGCCTCTCAGAATGAGGTGTGTTTTAGGCCAATCACCTTTGAGATGTGAAAAGAGCAGATTAGACACAGAGGAGGAAGCACAAGCAGAGGGAAAAGGACACACCACATGAGAATCGCCAAGGACACGCCACATGAGAATCGCCAAGGACACGCCACATGAGAATCGCCAAGGACACGCCACATGAGAATCGCCAAGGACGCACCACATGAGAATCGCCAAGGAATGCCAACAAAGTTGAAAAGACAAGGGCCTGCACCTGGAGATGGCAGGGAAAGAAAGACTTCCGTGGGGTGGGTGTTCTCGGCTGAGACTTTACTCTGTGAGAAAATAAATTTTTGTTTGCGAAAGGCTCAAAAAAAAAAAAAAGGAGAGGTAAGGTTTCACAAAGGGAAAGATCACACTTTCAAAGATTCTAGACTATTTAACAGATAAGGATATCGGGGATCAGAATAAAAGAAGGGATATGTTTAAGGTCATTTAATAACATACCAATGTATCCAAATGTTACTACTAATAATGATGAAAACATCAACAGATTTTAGAGCAGAGACTAAAATGCAGATCTTCCAAGATCCAGCTCAGTGTTTCTTCTAGATTTGTTATAAGGGCCTTGAACATTTTCTTTATTCTTGCTTTACTTCATCTAGTTTATAAGAAGAACCTTTCTTGGACCTAAAATTTATAGATAATTTTACTCAAGAGACAATCGCCCAAAATTCAGCCATGCCTTATGAAAATGACATTTCATTCACTGCAAAAACGCCCAGCGGGCCAGATAAATGTCCGCAGCGGGCCGCATGTGGCACGTGGACCATAGTTTGAGGACCCCTGCTTGTGGAGGCTTGTGTATTGCTGTGATACTGGAAGTTATGTCACTGGCATTTCAAATGCAAGCAGAGTCACCCAAAGTGAGCAGGTTTCAGGGCAAGATTCCAGACTAAGGACAGACGATGAAGAAAAACTCAGGTCCGCATTTTGGAGGAAGTTAGAGGCTGAAAGCCTTATGCATAGGTTCGAAATATTGTGAGATACTTAAGGCCTAATTACTGGAAGCAGAACATTTCCAAGATCATGCCAGAGGATGGGCTCCTCTGGCTGTAGTGCACTTGAAATATGACTGAGAAGGAACTGTTTTCTCATGGTGGAGTTGACCAGGGGAATGGAGCTTTCAGGATCTTCATTTGCGTATGAGGCATGACTCAAGGTAGAGAGAAACAGTTTCAAAATTCTGCTAATAATTGGAACTTGGAATGTGCAAAGTATTAATCTAGGAAAATTGGAAGTGATTATAAATTAAATGGAATGCATAAAGCTTGACGTCCTAGACATGAGTGAGCTAAAATGGACTGAAATATAAAGAAAATCATATGATTTATTATCCTAGGAATACCATTATCAAGACACATGGTGTGGCATTCATGATCAAATAGGACATTGCAAAATCAATCATGAACAACAATGTCAGTGACAGTGTTTTGTTCTGTTGTACATAAGGTCACTATGGGTCAGTACCTACTTGATGACACCTAACAAAAATCACAACAATAACAAATAAGATAGAAGCTTATTTCTTCCTCAAATAAGAATATAGACATAAATGGTCCAGGGCTGTTTGGTGAATTATGCCAACCTTAATACTTTTATCTCTAGGATCAAGGTGTTCATTCTAATTTCAGCCATTAGAAACTGTCAAAATTGTGGAAATAAATCCAAGACAATCAGCATTTTTTGTAGGGACATTACCAGAAAGTTGTATACATTACTTCCTTGTATAACTCTTTGCTTTGAGCTTAATATGACTATACCTAGCTACAAGAAAGGATGGAAAATGTAGATCTTGTTAGACAGCCATCAAAACTCACTACTAGATTCTATTGAGGTTTTATCTGTTTTACTTTGTTATATCTGTTAGTTTAAAAAATATTTTTCTCTACATGAAACCCAGGATAGCTAAATCTATAGGGATATTAATTAGATTGATGGTTCCTTGTAGGTATGGAAGGAGAATTTGGGGGGAAATTGGGGGCTAAGGACAAGTACAAGAATGATCAAAATGTTCTAAAATTAATTATGGTGATGATTGATGTGATTGTACGCATATTATATGTGAATTATATGCCAATAAAGATTTTTTAAAAACCCTCACTACCATCAAGTCGATTCCAAATCAGAAACTCTATAGGACAGGGTAGAAACCTGTGAGTTTCTGATATTGTGATTATTTATGGTAGTAGAAAGCTTCATCTTTCTCCCAAGGAGTGAGTGGTGGTTTTGAACTGCTGATCATGTGGGTAACAACCCATTACATATTTCCATCTAAAAATCTACATGACTTTATTATTGAAAAAAGAAGGAAGATAGAATGGAAACTGAGACACAGTTTAGCACTAAAAAAGTTGTTTGCAATGCTCTCAATACCCCTTTCTAGATTTTGTTGTATATTCATTTGTGGTTGTTGAAGGATGACATCTTCTTACTAACTTACTCTGAGACCTGCAAAAAGCGACTTCCTTTCTTTCAACTGTGTTTTACTCATCTGCAAATTTATGTGGTGTAGTTCAAAGAATGTGACTATAGAGAATGGAGGGTAGAAGGGAGGGAAGGAGGACCAGCAAGTATGGCACCCTAGTTGGCTGACAGTGTCATAGTAGGTAAGTCTTTTCACCTCTGGGTTATTGATTCCACCTCTAGGATCTGCCTATCTTACATGGCTGCTAGGAATGTCAAATGGTAAAATGAATAATAAATAAACAAGTAACAAATAATAAATATTTGTGTGCTAGATTTTGTATGTGTGCCAACATGACACCTGTAAAAAGATAATGGGTGGAGTTAAACTTGTCAATCAAGTTACAGCCTGAAGACTCCTTGATGGTATAAGAATGTGAGACACTGGGTCCGTCCCTCTTTCTTTCCCCCTCACCTTCCTGCTTGCTGACCACCCTGAGAGGTACTGGAATCCTACCATGTTTCCACCATGGAGTCCTACCATGTTTCCACTGATTCTGCAACCTCTGGGCTGTAATCTTCCTGCATTCTGCATCACTGTGTGTGACTGTGTGAGTCTAAAGAGTCGGACTGGCCTAGGATGTTTACTTGAGTTATAATTACTTCTTGATATAAAGCTTTCATACACATATATGAGTGTTTCTCTGTTTGTTTCTCTAGTCATTCTGGCCTAACATGATTTTTAATCTGAAAAGCATCACATAAAGAAAAACCTGTAAGGTGTCATGTCCTTTCTGCTTCTACCCAGCCCACCCAGCAGCAGTAGCACTTAGTACTCTCTTACCATCTAGTATTTTGTCTTTTAATCAAATTAATCCCATGTAAGATATCCTTAAGACTGAAGATACAGCCCAGGACTCCTGACTAAAGTCCAGTGCACTTAACATATTAACTCCAAAACTCACTGTCATCAAGTTGATGTTGACTCATGGCAACACCTTTATGGGATTCCAAGATTGTAACTTCTTTACTATAGTAGAAAATATAGTTTTTCTCCCACAGAACTGCTGGTAGTTTTGAACTATGGACCATGCAGATCACAACCCAATGCTTAACCATGACACCACCAGGGCTCCTAACATACTAGCAGTACTTAGCACATTAAGAGTACTTCAAATTCCTATGTGAAGGATAGGTAACCAAGGGAAAACCAATAGATACTGAAACCTCCTATCTTTAATCATGCTTATGCATCCAATGTGGTAAACAATCCAGCATTAGTATGTCCCCTTCCTTTTCTATAAACAACATAAAGTTGGTTCAGACTTATCTTCCCTATTTCTAAAAATGAGGGATTCAGAGTCAAGTACTTATACTATTCTTTTGTTTCCTCTAGTTATAGTCACATCTTCCTGAGCAATAAGAATGGACTCCTTGGTTCAAAATACAAAAAAGCTATATTCAGAGAATACACTGATGGTACATTCAAGATTCCTCGGCCAAGAACTGAACCAGAAAAACACTTAGGAATTTTGGGTATGGGAATTCCACTTCCTTTTTAGCATCAAGAAGCCGGAGTTGCTCCAGATATGTCATATCAGGAAGGCCTTCCCATTGCTCACTATCAGTTTTTCCTTATAGTATATTAAAGTTATAGCCATACTTTATAAATCCTCTATTTAAAGAAGCACTGATCCATGTATCATGGACTCAAGTTAATCAGACAAAGCATAACTCAAAGGGGGGAATTCATTAATTTTGCTGCAACTTGAATTAGGTGTTCACAGACTTCCATATTTATGTGTGTCTGGTTTAAATAGATGCTAGGAACAGGTGTAATTTAAGAATATAAAATACTATAAAAAGTGATAATACTTTTGTAAGAGCCAATGTGTTTTCTTATTCTTGCCCTGGAGCAGAAAGGATCCATTGGCCGCTGAAAAGACCTCAGTAACTGCATTTTTGGCCAAGCTTTCACTCCTTATCATCAATAATTCCATAGAGCTCTGGTTTGTTACAATATTGGTTTTAATATATAGAGAACTGGGTGGGAAAATTAGAGGCACAACCTCTTGTTGATGTTTCCTCATCTGTGGGCAGGAAAACCCCATGAACATCACTTTATTTAATACTTCTTGCTTGTTCTACTCCTCCACTAATAGAATTTTTTTTCCGTTTCATATATTAGGTCCACTGCTTAGAGGAGAAGTTGGTGATATCCTTACTGTGGTGTTCAAGAATAATGCCAGCCGCCCCTACTCTATGCATGCCCATGGAGTGCTAGAATCTAGCAATAGTCAGCAAATGGCAGCTGAACCTGGTAAGTGCAGACACTTAATGAATAAACAAATGATGTATGGCACCTCTGCTTCAATCCTATGGCTTTCCCTTCATATATATATATACAATAAGGACGCAGATAGACTTTAGACCTCTACTCAAATCTTACCTCAATACAAAAACAGTTTGCTCTCATAATCTGGCACTGTATGATACCTTCCCGGCACGATTGCTGAAGACAAAATGGGTGCATAAGAAAACGTGGTAAAGAAATCTGATGGTGCTCAGCAATTAAAAGATATAACGTCTGGGGTCTTAAAGGCTTAAAGTCAATCAAGCAGTCATGGAGCAGGGATGCAACAAAGCCCACATGGAAGAAGCACACCAGCCTGTGATCAGGAGGTGTCGATCAGAAGTTCAAAAACAAACAAACAAAAGCAATCAAATAGAAGTGAAGGAACATGGACAGAGTGGAGGCCAAAACCCACCTGAAAGATGGGTCAGTCTCTCACAAAAGGGCCACACAGAAGGAATGTTTATTCCAGGATTCAGCATAGCATGGTTGAAAAACAAAGCTATCCTCTAGTTCTTTAATAATCCCTCCCCTCACTATTATGGTTCTTGTCTTACCTCATTAACCTAGTTAGACATGAGTGTGCTCATGTGTATAACTAAGATCATTAGATGCACGAAAACCGAGATAGAAAACACTTCAAAAACAGTTAGGGGAGTAATGATTCCGTGAGTGTACAGTAAGAGAGAGGTTGGGGAGGCAAATAAGGGGGAGCTGATAGTAATTATGACTGTAGTCAAAGGGAACAAATAACAGAATTGTAGGTAAGTGGATATATTGGATGGTGTATAATAATAATAATAATTTATAACATAGCAGCGATTTTATAATTATGCATGATATAATTGAATTATGAATTGTTAGAACATCTACAAGAGCTCCCAATAAAATGATTTTTTAAATATCTGGGTAAGAAGAGCCAAGATATTTCTGGGAAACGAAGAAAAACAGCATAACATGTTGTTAAAACATGTTCCAAAAGTGTAACAATTAAAATAGCATGATACTGTGAACAAAAAAAGATAATGTTGCCAGCATGAAATTGTTTTAATCATGGTATTTTAGAATATGTTTTAATATTACAAAATGATAGTCCTAGCACTCTATTTTTCTTGTGCAAGATTGTTTTGAATAATTCCATATAAAACTGAGGAATGGATTTTCCAGTTCAGCAAAGAAGGTTGTTACCCCTATTAGCCTATGAATTTTGACGGGGTCTGCATTCAAATTATAGGTTGCTTTAGGTAGTATAGGAACCCTGGTGGTGTAATGGGTGAGTAGTTCAAAACCTCCAGCCCCATCCACAGGAAAAAGACAAAGATTTCTACTCCCTAAAGAGTTACAGACTCAGAAATGTACAGGGACAGTTCTAGCCTGTCACCATGGGTGAGAATCAACTAGATGGCTATGAGTTTGGTGTCTTTTGTTTGCTTGTGTTTTAGTTTAAGTAGTAAAAGTGAAGAGGAAGAAAAAAGAAAATGTCTAATCATGGAAGGCAAGAAGAAAAAGCAGAAAGAAGAGAGGTTGAAAATGCAAGTCTCTACCTTATACAGGGTTCAGAAATTCCATGTTGAATAGCATCTGTGAGATTCTTGATATGGAGAGATCAGGTGTAAATAGCGAATTGGTGAAGTGTATCTTGAATTTCTTAATGCATCCAAGGCTTCTGGAAAGCTATTGCCAAAATCCAAATGAACCAAATATCCTGAAATTCTGTCAAATGAACCAAGTAGTGATAAAGATGAAAAGAAAAATCAGAAGTATTCACATGAAGATAAAGAAATTGAAGAGAAGCTGTCAAAAGGACATCTAAAACACTGAAAGCAATTTCTAAAAAAAAATAAAATAAACTGTATAAAGTGCTAATGTTAATAAGGCAGACATGCAGAATGCATTGGAAAGTAGATTGCTGGAGATACAGTTAGGTTAAAATTTAGCTCCCTATCATTTGATCTTCCTTTTGATCCATTTAAATTTGTCTAGTTTTTAATATTTTCTGCTTTGTTTCTTTTTCTTTTTAATTCATTTTATTGGAGGCTCATACAGCCCTTATCACAATCCACACATGCATCCATTTTATCAAGCACATTTGTACATTTGTTGCCATCATCTCATTCAAAACATTTTCTTTCTACTTGAACTCTTGGTATCAGCTCCTCATTTTTTTTCTTCCCTTCCCCATCCTCCCTCCAGAACCCTTGATAATTTATAAATTGTTATTATTTTTTCATGGCTTACACTGATCAATGTCTCCCTGATCCCATCAACACCTCATGATCACACAGGCTGGTGTGTTTCTTCCATGTGGGCTTTGTTGCTTCTCAGCTAGATGGCCGTTTGTTTATCTTAAAGCCTTTAAGACCCCAGACCTGTCTTAAAGGCTTGAAGGTAAACAAGCGGCCATCTAGCTGAGAAGCAACAACACCCACATGGAAGAACGCATCAGCCTGTGTGATCATGAGGTGTCGAAGGGATCAGGTATCAGGCATCAACAGAACAAAAAAAATCTTACCATAGTGAATGATGCGGGGAGTGCGGAGTGGAGACCCAAAGCCCATTTGTAGGCCACTGGAGAGCCCCTTGGAGAGCAGTCTTGGGGAGGAGACGAGCCAGTCAGGGTGTGATGTAGCAACGATGAAAAGTACAACTTTCCTCTAGTTCCTAAATGCTTTCTCCAACCCCCACTATCATGATCTGAATTCGACCTTGCAAGTCTGGCTAGACTAGAGGATGTACACTGGTACAGATAGGAACTGGAAACAGAGGGAATCCAGGGCAGATGATCCCTTCAGGACCGGTGGTGTGAGTGGCGATACTTGGAGGGTAGAGGGAGAGTGGGTTGGAAAGAGGGAACTGATGACAAGGATTTACATATGACCTCCTCCCTGGAGGATGGACGACAGAAAAGTGGGTGAAGGGAGACCTCGGACAGGGCAAGATATGAAAAAATAATCATTTATAAATTATCAAGGGCTCATGAGGAAGGGGGCAAGGGGGAGGAAGGGGCAAAATGAGGACCTGTTGCCAGGGGCTTAAGTGGAGAGCAAATGTTTTGAGAATGATGAGGGCAATGAATGTACAAATATGCTTTAAACAATTGATGTATGTAGGGATTGTGAAAGACTTGTATGAGCCCCTAATAAAACGATTGAAAAAAAAAAAGACCCCAGAAGCTAAATGTTTTGATAGCCAGGCACCATCAGCTTTCTTCACCACATTTGCTATACACCCATTTTGTCGGCAGTGCCATGTCTGGAAGGTGAGCATCACCAAATGCCAGGTTATTAGAACAAAGTGTTCTTGCATTGAGGGAGTACTTGAGTAGAGGCCCAATGTCCACCTGCTACCTTGATACATAACATAAATATATGTACATAGATCTATTTCCCAATCATTATATCTAAATATATTTATATATGTACATGCCTGTATTTAGAACTCTATAAATGCCCTTTGCCTCCTACTTCTTTCTTCTATTTCCTTTAACTTTCCTTTTGTCCCACTATCATGTTTGGCCTTCATTCAGGTTTCAGTAATTCATCTTGGTTACATTGCCTTTGATCTAGCCCTATCAGGCATCTTACACTCTCCTTGTCGTCGATTTTAGATCACTTGCTGTTCTCTTGTCCCTGGGTTTGTTAACATCCCCTTCCTTTCCCCCACCTCCCCCTTTCTTGTGTCCCCCTGGGAATCGTTAGTCCCGATGTTTTCTCCTCTGGGTTGTTTGTCCCACCAATCTTATCTAGATAGACATGCAGTGACAATAATAAGGACAAAAACAAGACAAGGCAAAAGAAAACAACAACAACAAAAACTAGCGACCAAAAAAAGAAAAGCCTATAAATAGTTCCAGGTCTGTTTGTTGACCTTTAGGAGTGTTTTCCAGTTAGGTCTGATGGGGTGCCACACCCTGACCGCAAAGTCTATTTTTGGTATTCCCTGAGGACTTAATCGCTTTGCTCCCCTTGCTGCTCTGTTGCACTCCCTTAGTGTTTGGCCCCAGTGTGGTGGGGTCAGATTAGGCACAATTCCTGCACTGTGTCTTCAGTATAGTCCCCTATAGGGCTATGAGTCAGTGCTCTGCTTTGTTTTCTCTTGAAGCTTTTATCTGATTTACTTTATTCTTGTTAGTTTTTTTAAATGTTTTTTCTGTATATTAAATCCATGTTAGGTAAGTCTACAGAGAGTAACAGTACTAATGGTCCTTCTGGGGTATGGCAAGGGAGGTTGGGGGAAAAAGAGGAGCTAATAAGAATGAGTACAAGATTGAAGACAATATTCTAAAACTGATTGCGGTGATGTTGTGCAACTCTTCTTGGTGTGATTAAATTATTGAACTATATAATATATAGATTATATGCCAATAAAATTGTTGGGGAAAACCAAAGAAGGGAGGTGGCAGCACCACAAAGAAGAATCAAAACAGTTCCCCAAAAAAAGTGAATCTGAGGATAGTTTAGATAGTGAAATTTTAATTAAGAAACTGAGTAAACCACCACAGATTAATAGTTAAAAGAAACAGTAAAGAAATTATTGGGGGAAAAAAAGAAATTATTGGGAAGTGCTAAATTCAAGGAAGTCACAATGAAGCAGATTTGCAGAGGTATATGAAAATTGCCCTGCTTATGCTGTAATTTAAAGAAAGAATTTCATAAAACAACTGTTAGAGTTGATTTCTTGAGAAGTTCTCCAGAAGTTAATGACAGGAGACTTGGATTTGTCTCATGGATTTGATGATCTGATTTATACCAACAAAGAAAATCTCCTTTTCTATGTTCTTGTTAAACATTGTGTTGATAGAATTTACCTTTTGATCTCAAAATGTTATAAAAATTTAACTTTGCTGTTTTAAATTGCATATATGTGCACTATTTAGTTTAAAATCTTACATGACTATAATTGTTCCTTCCTTTTATAGCTGTATTTTGTATATACATTGTTTATAGAACATTGTAGATTCTTACACA